CGACGTCCGGCTGCAGACATCCCACGAACACTGGACCGTCACAATGCAGGGCGTGCTCGTCAAACATCGGGGATGGACGGAATTCCCTTTAGCAAAACGTGGTGTAGTGAAGACGACCTCGGGCCCACACCTGGCGGGCGCAAGCCTGGAAAATGACGGCCGCGGCGCCCTCTTGAGAACCGAAAACGGACAATTCACGAATCGAAGTGTCAGGGTTGGGGTTCTTGAAGGGCCCCTGGGTCACACAAAATAATAACACAAAAACATCAGGATTCCCAATCGTTTCCCATATTTTCTGGGTTTCTCTCTTCCCCCCCATTTCCCATATTTTCCAATCTTTTCCTGGGGATCGACATTAATTGTGTCTGTTTTTTTTTTCCTCCTGGGTTCTGTCCACCCCCGGAAAAACAGCACCGGCGAACCCCGAGCCCGAGGAGGCGGAGGGAAGGTCCCAGACCCCCGACGTCGTGCGCGTTTCGCCGCATCGACCGCCAGAGGTCCGGACCCCTTCCCCAGGGCTGGTCTTGGTTGGCCCAGACATCGGCTACACGGAAAGAGTGACCCCGGGTAAGAGCGACCTTTGGTGCGCGGCATTTTGGGGGCCGCGGGGGGACCAAACCTGGGCGCGCAAGCCGCTGCTCCTGTTTCGTATTCAGCCACCTGGGGGCCCATCTGTGCCCGCACCAAAGGTCACTCCAGCGAAAGGTCACTCTTACATCTAATCGAAAACAGGGGCCCAGCTGAAACGGGGTGGTGCAACCGGTTCGGGGCAAGTGTATTGCAGATGCATTGCACCAGTGGATTGTGCTGCATTGCGTTGCAACTGATGTATTGTACGCGAAAACCCAGCAATACATTTGCGCACCAGAATGTATTGCACGCCCCTGATCTATCGCAAACCTATAAATTCCTTGCACCCAATCGATTGCACTACCCCCTTGTCGCTGGACCCCCTCGTGGGTGAACCAAAGCGGCGTTTCATCCTGAACCGTTTCTTGACGGTCCCGGGGCCCGGCAAAGGCCGCAGGAAACCGAAACTAGCGAAGAAACTTCCCCGTCGCGTTTCTCCCCAAAACAAAAACGCGAGGGGGTCTGCGGTCGAGGAGGAGGAGGGAGAGGAGGAGGAGAAGGAGGAGGAGGGTCGCTCACGTGGCGCCCCGGCCCGCGGTCCTCGGCCACTCATGCGACGCGGCTGCTACCCGCCCGCCTTGGAGCGGACGAGGGATCGCAGGCTGGTGGTGCGGGTGCGGCTGCGGTACGCGTTGTTCGAACCTGAGGGGAAGGGGGAAGGACAATCGGCCTACTGGCTGCAAAAGTGGCCCTGAAGGGCCACTGAATTGCCCTTTGCCTCACCCCCCATGTCGGTCAGCTCCCGCTGCCACCCACCCGAGGAAAGGGTGACTGTGGCGGGAATGAAGCAGAACGGTCACCGACATCCGACGTCCCGAACAAAAAGCAAAACGGAGGTTTTCCGCCGTCTCCAATCTCCTGGGCCATCTCGCCCCAGGACGGTCCGAACACGATTCGGTACGAAAGACGGTCATGGTGGAAAGGGTGGAGACTCGCGGAAGCCCGCATTGACAGGGGGAGAGGATGAGGAGGGGGAGGACGGAGGAGGAGGACGAGGAGGACGAGGAGGAGGAGGAGGAGGAGGAGGAGGAGGAGGAGGAAGAGGAGGACAGGGACGAAGGCAGAGGAGGAGGAGGATGGGGAGGAGGGGGAGGAGAGATTCCGCTACCGAGCCCCACGTACTTAATCCCACCAGCCCTCTGGGGGTAGGTGGCTCCGGGAGTTTCCTCTTCCATCTTCCCTTCTTCCCCTTCGGGGAGGGGTTTACCCCTCCCCCTAACCCCCTCCCCTGGACTTGGACGGGGGGGGGGCCGCTGGTAGTTAGAGCGTCCAAAAAGGCCTCGGCGAGGAAACCAACATCATCGGTTCTACCAGGGTTTTGGCCCCATTTTGGCCTCTTGGGGGGGCAAGGCTAATTAACCCCACCCTCTTCTTTGATCGATCTCTTCCAAGATGGCCCCAAGAGGCGCCCGGGAGGCCCCACGAGGCTTCCAAAAGGCTTCCAAGAGGCCCCAAGAGGCCGCCATGAGGCCCCAAGAAGCCCCCAAGAGGCTCCCAGGATGGTTCCAAGAGGCCTCCAAGAGGCTCCAAGAGGCCGCCATGAAGCTCCAAGGGACCCCCAAGAGGCCTCCAACAGGCCCCCAAGAGCCCCCCAAGAGGATCCCAAGCGGCCTCAAGAGGCCCCCCCGAAGCACCCAAGACGCCCAAAAGCCCCCTTTGACCGCCAAGAGACCCCCAAGACGTCCGAAGAGGTTTCCAAAAAGGCTCCCAAGAGGCATCCGAGCGGCATTCAACCATCCACCCAGCGTCATCATTCTCCTCATCCCTCCTTCGCTCGGTTCCTCGCCACCCCCTCATCTATCCATCTGGCCTCCTCTTCCGCCTCATCCTTTGCACGGATCGGCTGTCCCTCTCGTTGCTCCCCCACTTCCCTGATCTCTTCAACTTGGATGGGCTGGTGGGGACACGCGAAGCGTCAAGAATTTGAATCGCATGTGTTTGCTTATCATCATCATTTATGCGCAATCCGGCTTTCTGAACCCTTGTCGCGAATTTTCCCTATTTGTCATCCAGCGCACCATTGCTTGAACCTCCTCCCTCTTCCCCGCCTTCTATCCTCCATCGGGGATAAACTGTCCGCCCAAGCAGTGAGGACCTGACGGGTCTGCCTGGTCCATTGCGTTGAGGAACTTCGCCGCATCCAACCGCTCTGCCAGGGCCGCCAACCGCGCGCGGTGCGCGACGTCTTCCACGTCGCGCAAAGAATCGACGCCATGAGAATCCGCGGCGGCTCGAAACGTTCATCGCCAGGGGGCGACGTCGCTCACTCCCCCGTAGAACTTGGCGCTAGCTCCGACGAGCACGTCGGGCTGCAGTGCGAACAGACGAAAGGTAGGCACATCCACTCTGTTGGGTCAAGCATTCGCAGAATACATATAAAAAAGCGCCTGCCACAGAGCTGCGTCGCCGCCCCGTCTCGAAGGCCAGCACTCCGGATCAGCAGCTCGCCTGGCCGCGAATTCCCCGTGCCATTTCACTGCTTTCGCATCCGCTTGTGCCGACAAGTTCTCAAGCTGAATTGATTCTCGCAGGCCTTTCAACCCAAGTACTTCTGGCCAACGGCGATCCGTCTCCGCCAGCTCAGAGGGCAGCTGAATGCGAGGGGCGCCCGGGGAACGAACAGAGGTAGCGAGCGGAAGTGCAGGGGACTGCTGTGGAGTGAGAGCCTGCGCGGGCGACGCCTTCGTTGGCGTGGGTTTCGCGGGCGTGGCCTTCGCGAGAGTGGAATGCGGTCCTGGGGGAGATTCCGGGTCGCCGCCCGCGATTCCAGTCGCGTTAACTCGCCGAACTTTCGCTGGCAGCAGGCCATCGCATGCCCCGTTCTCCCTGGCAGATGAGCAGAGACGTCTTGCGGAAATCCACCAGAGCGAGGGTCTTGCAGGTACCACGTCCAGCGCTGTGTCCTTGCATGCCGTCGCCTCGTTGACGCTGCAAGTTGTTGCACCTTGTAAAGAGCGTCTCGGACCACCAATACAGAAACTGCCGCTGGTAAGCATGAAATGCGCTGTGTACCAAAACGTTCCCATGCCTGACAACATATGCGCGCAAACCATCTAGGTTCACCTCGGCGGCCATCTCTAACATTGTGCTTTTGAGCTGCTCGCACGAAGGTGGCAACGCGGACATGGCCCTTTTCGGCGCCATGACAGGGAACCTACTTTTGACGGGGAGTCACCGACGGTCGCCCGCGTTCACGTATCGAGCTGCCTGAGCCGGCATGAGCCAGGGTGGCTGCAGTTCTCGATGCTGATGATAGCGCGTCCGCCCGCTTGTGCACCCCTCGGGCCTCCACGAAATGCCGCTCGCCCTACGTTCTGAGAGACCCCACCCCCAAAGAATCCCCTCTGGAATCGAGACGGCGTCACGCCTGCTATGCCCTGGGCGACAGACGCGCATAGCGTCCGCGCTCAGCGGCCGCCCCCTGCGCAACCTCTCTGGTGTCGACAACATGCCGCGTTTGTTATGCCCTGGGCGAGAAGCGCGCGTAGCGGCCGAGTTCAGGAACCACCCCCTGCGCCCCCCCCTCTGTTGTCGACGAAATGCCACGCCTGCAAAACCTTGGACGAGAGGCGCGCGTAACGACCGAGGTCAGGAACCACCCCCTGCGCACCCTCCCTGGTGTCGAGAAAGTACCACGCCTGCGATGCCCTGGACGAGAGGCGCGCATAACGACCGAGGTCAGGAACCACCCCCTGCGCACCCTCCCTGGTGTCGAGAAAGTACCACGCCTGCCATGCCTCGGGCGAGAAGCGCGCATAGCGGCGGAGCTCAGGAACTAGCCCCTGCGCACTCTCCCTGGTGTCGAGAAAGTGCCACGCCTGCCATGCCCTGGACAGAAGCGCGCACAGCGGCCGAGCTCAGGAACCAGACCCCCCACCCTCTCAGGTGTCGAGAACGTGCCACGTCTGCGATGCCCTGGACGAGAGGCGTGCATAGCGGCCGAGCTCAGGAACCACCCCCTGCGCACCCCTTCTGGTGGCGAGGCGTCTGCTTCTGATGTGGGGCTCCTGCCCGTCAAGTGTATGATGCGGGTGTGGCTGTGTCTGGACGTGTGTCTCATGTGGGTGCTCACTATGTGGCGCATACGTCGTGGGTGAACACGCCAGGCGCGCGTGTGTGTGTGTGTGTGTGTGAATGTGTGTGTGTGTGTGTGTGTGTGTGTGTCTGCGAGTGTGTCTGCGAGTGTGTGCATGCGTGCGGCGGCATGTATACGCGTGTCTCATGTACGTGCCGTGCATGCGTTGCGCGTGGGTGGGGGGGGGAGAACGGAGGATGAGGAGAGGGAGGAGGGAGGAGGCAGGTGTGAGGAAGACGCGGTTGCGACGCGGGCGGGAAGAAAACCAGAACCCCACGAAACATGTGGGGAAATATCAAGACATCGGATATCTGGGCGAGGGGAGCCCTTCCCAGCTCAGGGGGGGACATCGGGCTGGAATCGACGAAACATCGCCGATAGATCGGCGGTACGACCCCGACTGCGAAGCCGCATGGTCATGGGCGGGGTGGGCTATCGGGCCCAGATCGGCGATCAACATGCGTTTGGGGGTGAATGCGTCCCTTCCTGGGTCTATCCTCCACTCCTGACTTTGCCCCTGAGAGCCCCCCCCGCGGAAGCTGGTGGTGCTGGGGATGAAGGCTGCGAATTGCTCGCTCACGTACTCTCCCTGGGAGATGTCCGAGAGGTTGTTCGGGTTCTCGCTGTTCAACCACTCGAGAAAGATCCGCGCATAACTCGAGACAAACTCATGCGCCTGCGGGTTGAGCTTCACTTGCTCCGCGAACTTGTTGGAGTCGATGGTCAAGTTGTCGCTGTCCTCGATGGCCTTGCAGAGGCCTCTGTGTACCCAGTTCCCCGCCCAGAGGGCGGCTTCCGCGATCCAGTCCTCGGCCTTGTCCACCAGCTCCTTGTGCAGGCCTCCGAAGCTGTCCAGCCTTGCATAGTTGAACTTACCCTCCACCACGATGTACATGTGGTTCGCAGTCTCCATCGGGTAGAACAGGCAGTCGCCTGCAGCGAGGAGCTTGTGCTCTATGGCCACATTGGCCAGCCGGTGCACGGTCACCTTGGAATTGTTGATGAGGCTGTCCAGCAGCGGGTGAATGCGCATCTGCGGCACGGCCATCTCGAATTTGAGCTCGGACCGGAGCTGCTCGGAGAGCAGACTCACCAGCTTGACGTTCTTCCCTGACTTCTTTTCCCGCTGTGCCTGCCACGCGTGCTCCAGGTACTTCTGGATGCGCACGGACAGGGCCCGTGGCACCTTGTTTCTGGCCAAGTACCGCTTGAGGTCCCAGAAGAGCGTCGACTCCTCCGCGTGCATGCTGCGCAGCTGCCCCAAGGAGCCCGTGATGCTGCCGACAATGTAGGAGAAGCCCACCAGAGCGAAAATCACCACCACCACCGTGAAGACACGCTCCTGGGGATACGAGACGGTACCAATACCGCTACTCCCCGAACCTCTCTCGGGGTGCGTTCTGCCCAGAATTTCGAGGCGAATCCGGCGGTGGCGACGAGGGCCTCCCAGAAGGCCCAAAGAAAGGGAAAATGAGGAAAGGGTAGAGGTACGGGTACCTTCTACTCCTATGATCTCCGCGAGGTTCTGAGGCTGCACGTCCATGGACGCAGGGGTGAACTGCGTGATCGACCAGTTCGCAGGGCCCAGCGGGCCGACGGCGCGCTGGACCCGGGCCAGCACGGGCACGAACGCTCCAGGAGCTGGCCCACGAGGCCGCAAAGCACTGTTCGTACTGAGATCTCTGCCGCTCAAAACCGTTTGCGCCATTGTACGCACTGAGGGCCTTGGCAGTCAGAGCTCTCCAAAGTCATCGTTCGGAGCTTTGAACGTCAGGAAGCCCTTGGGAACCTTCGGACTAAAGACATGTTTGACAACACCGTCTCCCATGGTGTTTTTCCGTCTCCTGAAACTCTGGTGAGCCTTGGGGTCAAAGACGTGTCCATCTTTGGGTGGGCTAAGGGTGGGAACCTTGGCATCGAAGCTGTGTCCGTCACTGGGCCGTCTTGGGGCACGCGGGCTCACACCGCTGTCCGCACTTAGGAGCCTTGCTTTAGGAGTTCATCACATCATAAAACAATCATCAAACAAAAGCGTAGCGGAAATCTATGAACTCGGCCTCTCCATACCGTCTTGGGGGTCATCTTGGGGCCTTTCCATCTTGAGAAACTTGGGCCGTCTTGAAGCCTTTTTGGGCCCTCTTGGGGGCATCCAGTGGCCCTCTTGGGGGAATCTCTTGGGCCTCTCTTGGGCCGTCTTGGGGCTCTCTGGGCCGTCTTGAAGCCCTTTTAGGCCGTCTTGGGGCAATCGCGGAAGCCCCCAGAGCTACATGCGTGTGACATTGTAGCCCGAAGATACGGGAACCCAAAAAGCAAACAAACGCCGACGGAAAATCAATGCGATTGCCTTCTCAGGCCGTATTGAGTCTTGGGGGCCCTCTTGGGGCCCAGTGAAGGTATCTTCGGGACCTCTGGGACCGTCTGGAGGTCAAATTGGGCTGTCTTGGAGCGCTCTTGGATCTGCTGGGGGCCCTTTTCGGCCTCTCTGGGACCGTCTTGGATGTATCGCAGGCCATCTTGGGCGCGTCTTAGGCCGTCTCGTGGCCCTGTTGGTCGCTCTGGGCACCCATCCTTGACCGTCTTTGGAGGTGGGAGCGTGTGAACACCAATGCGGCGGCCCTTCGCCCCTCCTCGGGAACCTCAGAGGGCTCTTCGACCCACCAGAGCACCATTCGGGCCGGGCGAAAGGGGGGGATAGCAAAGGGGGGGTTTGAGAATCAACTCACGTAGCTGATTTTCCTGGCGCCTCCCGGCGCCGGAGGCGGCTATGTATCGAGAAATGGGCCCCTCGGTGAGGCCGAAACCAGCTGCATGCAGCAAATTTCGTACCCCCCCCCCTTTCCCAATCCTCCTCTTTCGTCTGGCCCGAACCATAACTCGCACATCACTCTTTCTGTCACCCGAGCCGGCACGGGAATGGTTAAAAACGCTTCAAGAACTTCCCCGAGACTTCCCCGAGAGGGCTCGTGGCACCGTGAGCCCCTGGGAGCCTTGGCGTGGTGAGCTTTTACATGTCGCCGCTCGTTGTTGGTAGCCCAGATGCTGAGAGCTGTTTGCGCCACGCTCTCACGAGCCTTTGCGTTCAAACCTCTCGGCGAACCTGCTCATTCTTGGAAGCCTTGGCGTTCGGAGCTTCTTGCGTACCACTCGGTGCCCCACTCTTCCTGTGTTTCGCTCAGGCTCTCCCCGGAGGAGGGGAGGGGGGGCTGGAGGAAAGAGTACGATGATGGCACAAGGAGCAGGCGGAGGAGAATGGAAGAGAGGAGGAGGCGGAGGAGGAGGAGGAGGAGGAGGAGCCCGCGACCAGATGCCCAATCCACTCTCAGCAGCGCTCCTTTCTGTGCTCGCAGTGGGAGCAACTACACCCGAAGAGAGGGGCCCTCGCGGGGCCTTCTCTGGGCTCCTGGCGAATTCCCAGCGTCTTTGGGACCTTCTGGGGCCATCTCGTGCGCTCTCTCTGGGAAGATGTAGGAGAGCCTCCAAATCGCTGCCGGTGAGCCTCAAAGGTGCAGTGGGACTGTTCGCTTTGACAGGCGCTCGATCAACACGTCCACTTCAGCAAATTCGTGACAAAAGCATCCAATAACCGCATTTCCATTGAGAAGTACACCAAGGACGTGGCGTGTTTGGGCAACCTCGAGAACAAATCGTACCCAAATGGCTGTAGAGCGTTCCGGTCCAACGATACCCAGATTGAGCACGACAATGTCCTAAAATATTGCCGGGATGTTGATTCGACGTTCACCGCCACCATCCCGCGGGGCACTGCGAATCGCGAGGCCATGAGGATCGTGCGCCACGGGATGACATTGTCTCACACGCAGTCGGTGCTGGAGGCCTTGGAGGAGCACCGAGAGGCCATCAAGCTTACGCCGACTAAGCAAGCCTTCATGGAGCAGGGCAAAGCGATCATGGCGAGCCTGACGGAGGACAAGGCCACCCCCCTTGGCTTCGACGCTCCGGCCGTGAAAGGCATCGACCCTAAAGTGCAGCAGGAGAAGCTCGAGATGCTGTGGTCCACAGTGATTCAGAATGACGCAGCACGTGAGCAAAAGCGGCTCAAGGATTTGGAAAACGAAGACAAGGCGAGGAAGAAAAATATCGAACAAGCATTCAGAGAGCGGCCAGAAGACATGTGTTCGGCAGCCGTCGACACCATCATCGATAAGAAACTGGAGCAGCACTGCCTGCTGTCCAACATGGCGGAAGACAACGTCCCGAATGACAAGACAGTCACTTTTGCCGACTCCGTGCAGGCCGCTGCGAAAGCTTCAAAAAACGGCAGAGCCCCTGGGGTGTCCAGGAGGGTTCCGCCGAGGACCAGGCGGCTGGCACCAAGTCCAAAGTCAAGGGCTCGGACAACAAGGGTGCCACAGGCAGGGGCAAGTGCTGCGACGGCCAGAAGGGCAAGGAGGCCAGCCCCCCCGGCCAAGGGCAGCAAAGGCAAAGGCAAGGCCGCGGTCAAAGGCAGGGCGAAAGACACGAAGGGCATCACGGACGGAGGCAGAGGCGCTGGCAAAGTCTACAACTCTGGGCCCCAGGCCCAGGCAAGAACACCGGCGCGAGGAAGCCGAATCATGGAGATGGAGGTGTTTGGCCCGCCACATGGCGGGGGCACCTGGATTACGTTTTTGAATCACAGCAGCCGCTCCGATAAGGTTTTCGTGTATGACGCAAGTGGGACGTCCATATACGTATCTACCGATCTAACCTGGCCAGTGGCTTGGTTGCTAACTCGGCTTTATCATACACGCATTTTCAGTCTTGGGATGCTCCCCAAAATCGCATCACTTAAGCAATTTTCGTGACTTCGTCAACAAATTTCAATGGCGACGCAAGCTGGGATGTTTAGGAGACAGCCAGTTGACCTATCGTCTGAAGGGATGGGTGGCTCCAACATTTCGCGGGCAGTCGCCTCCAGATGTGCAGTTCTGGCTATCCAATCTTGTCTCATCCCTGATTGAAGCCTGCCAACGACATATCCAGAACATCCAGTACCAGCCTGGGCTGGGCAACGTGTTCTCTCTAGTCCGCTTGGCCCTGCAATAGCTGGCAGACTCACCATACATTCAATCAAACATGACAAAGAAGTTGGGTACACACTCTGGCATAAAGCTGCCAATGAAAGCAACGACAATGTCATCCTCAACAACGGTGATTACAAGGAATAACACGGTACGCCAGACTTTGACAGCATTGCCAGATGTTATTGCAAGCTAGCTTGGGACATCGAAGAGTATGAGGGGCACCCAGTGGGCCGTTGCATTATCAAGTCCCTGTCCGCCCCGAAGCATACGATGAAGCCAATCCTGACCAATACTTGTGAGACGCACAAGCATCCACAACCGAGTATCATTCTTAATATATACGCGTTGGGAAGATACTGCTTTGCGGGCCTTTCGCACTGGTTGGGGGGTGGTTTTGCAAGACAAGCTCAAGGAGAACGGCCACGTCGTCAGAGATTCCAGGGAAGATGCAAAACACCTCAGGCATAAGTCAATGGGCTCTGACGACGGCTTCCGTACCTTAGACATCAAGGATTGCTACATGCCCGGCGAGGAAGGAGATCTCATCGCTGACGTTGCCATTTTGTGTGAATCTCCGCTCAGAGAGCTCGTTGTTCGCGCAATGGAGATCCTGTCGGGGAGCCAATACGTAGCGGCAGGTAGCGTACCATACCAATGTTTCAAGGTGATCGAGGGCACGGGTATGCGCCTCCCCCACTCAGGGGGGGATGCGGACCTGGCGGTCATCAGCAGGATGGAGCGTTGGGATGTCCACAACCTCGCCAGGTTCGGCACCAAACTGTACCTCCGCTTCCAAGACAACATCCTGTTCCAATATGAAAGAACGTCTCTCGCAGGCACATTCGTGGTCGAATTCCGGAGGCGAGCGGAATATCTTAAGCTCAAGGTAGATGGATGTTCCAGGCATGCAACCTATTGTTTAGAATTGTACGTGTTTCGCAGCAGCGGGAGAGTAGGCACCCGACCTACGTTTAAGCCGACCATTCTTGCTATCCCTGTATTGCACAATAATTGGAACCCAGCGCCGATGCATTTTGCGTGGCCCCGTGCGCGATTGCAAGACATGCAACAGTGAGGCTCCCAGCCACAGTTTTTCGAGAAAGCATATGCCGAGTCCACGCGTCGTTCATCCCGGTATGTCACGGCTCGTGGAGTGCGCCGGGAAGTTCCGGCGCTCCACGAAGTATGTGTCCAGCAGCTCCCATGCCGGAGGGACGCGGGCAGAACACCCTGTGGCTCAAGGTCAGGTTCTGTCCTGAATTGGGGTCATGTGTAGAACAGGCGCTGCGGGGGTTCCTTGAACACGCTGGGTACAGAGGCGTTGCGATGCAGGCGCTGGGAGCAGTTCCTGACGTTCGCGCGTGCAGGTACCGAGCCCTCCCCCGTCTGGCTGAAAGACTGGCGAGGATGGCGCGCGACAAAGCGGATTAGCAGCTTTGGGTGGTGCTCGGGGCAGGTGGGCGGGATAATCAGTATGCTCCGTGCGACATGTTCAGCACAACTTTGCGCATCGGGAGAGCAGGCCCTGTGAAACAGATTCGTCTAAGTGGCAGGCCTGGCCCACGATACGAATTGGGGCAGACTTGTCTCTTTCGTGCGTGCTTCCGTAGATTCGGGGCTCACGGCTGGAGGGCATGCAACAGCCCTCGTCGACTTCCCAAGGGTCGCTAAACTGCCATTGTTTTGCAAGTGATTCCGCGTAGTCGCAATAAAAAAGGTCGCTCAGGGCACCCATCCTGGACCTTCTTCGGAGGGGGGAGCGTGTGAATACCAATGCGGCGGCACTTCGCCCCTCGTCGGGAACCTTAAAGGACTCTTCGACCCACCAGAGCACCATCACTCGCACATCACTCTTTCTGTCACCTGGGCAGGCACGGGAACGGAAAAACCGCTTCAAGAACTTCCCCGAGAGTGCTCATGGCACCGTGAGCCCTTGGGAGCCTTGGCGTGATGAGCTTTTACATGTCGCCGTTCGTTTTTGGTAGCCTAGATGCTGAATGCTATTTGCGTCACAGCTCGCTCTCGGCGAACCTGCTCGCTCTTGGAAGCCTTGGCGTTCGGAGCTTTTTGCGTACCACTCTGTGCCCCCGTCTTCCTTTGTTTCGCTCAGGCTCTCCCCTAAGGAGTGGAGGGGATCTGGAGGAAAGAGTACGATGATGGCGCAAGGAGGAGGCGGAGGAGAACGGACGGGAGTTTTAAACCAGCGTGCTCCCGCCCGTGAGTGGGTTCCCCTGGTCCCGGCACCCCGCGCAGGCAGAACGGCCCGAGGCGGGGTGGGCCAGCGGCCTCATCTCACGTCGTCGTACTGCCGCCACTCAATGACTCCTTGAGTCGCCCCGTGGGCGGCGGCAGTCTGAAGAAATGCTGCCGCCGCCCTCTCAGAGCTTGAGGAGCAGCCTGATGGACGGCCGCTGCCGCTCCTCCGCTCTGCGCTCTTCCAGGGACCGTCCTGGCTGCTGGCCCCTGGACTCTTGTGCCTTCTCGGCCGCCTTTCCTGGCGCAGGGCTGTGGCCTAACCCCTCGCCACGCTGGGGTGCGTTGCGGCCTAACCCCTCGCCGCGCTGCGGTCTGGCCCCTCACTGCTCTGAGGTGCTCCTTGGTGGCCTAACCCCTCGCCGCGCGGGGGTCTGCTGCGGTCTAAACCCTCACCGCGCTGGGGTTCGTCGTGGCCTGACCCATCGCCACACTGGGGCACGGTGCGGTCTAACCCCTCACCGCGCTGGGGGAAACGGTGGCCTAACCCCTCGCCACGCTGGGGGCTGCTGCGGTCTAACCCCTCACCGCGCTGGGGTGCTCCGTGGCCTAACCCCTCGCCACGCAGGGGGCGGTTGCGGTCTAACCCCTCACCGCGCTGGGGTACCATGTGGCCTAACCCCTCGCCGCGCAGGGGCCTGCTGCGGTCTAACCCCTCACCGCGCTGGGGTGCTCTGTAGCCTGACCCCTCGCCACGCTGGGGATCGTTGCGGTCTAACCCCCCACCGCGCTGGGGCGCTCCGTGGCCTAACCCCTCTCCACGCTGGGGCCTGCTTCGGTCTGTCCCCTCACCGCGCGGGGGATCACCGAGTCTCGCACTGTCCCCATCCCCAGTGCTGCTGTCCACTGGCACGGGCAAGGTCCCTCGACTATGCCACTCTCTGTGTTCGCATTTCACGTGGTATCCGCGGGCCAAACCCTCCCCCTCGCGTTCAGTCTGTCGGTTTCCCAGGGTGTGGGTCCGCTCTGTTAGTTGCGAGGTCATGTCTACCACACTGTTGGTCAAAAGATCCGCGTCCTGCTCGCTGGGCTCGTCAGGGACCTCCAACTCGAGCCTCTGTTTGCCTTTGGCATTGCGGTCTACCCCCTCACCGCGCAGGGGACTGCCGTGGCCTAACCCCTCGCCACGCAGGGGTTCCATGCGGTCTAACCCCTCACCGCGCTGGGGAAGGTCGCCGAAATCCTTGCCCTGATCCCGCTGCAGGTCTGTGTCGTCGTAGTCTGCCGTCATCTCGGGCGGCGTTGTTTTGTGGCCTAACCCCTCGCCACGCAGGGAAACGTCGTGTCTCGCACCGTCACCATCCTCGGTGCTGCTGTCCACTGGCTCGGGCGAGGTCCCCCGACTATGCCACTCGCTGTGTTCGCGGTTCACGTGGTATCCGCGGGCTGAGCCCTCCCCCTCGCGTTCAGTCTGTCGGTTTCCCAGGGTATGGGTCCGCTCTGTTAGTTGCGAGGTCCTGTCTACCACTCTGTTGGTCAAAAGGTCCGCGTCATGCTCACTGGGCTCGCCAGGGACCTCCACATCGTGCCTCTGTCTGCCTTTTGTTCTGCGGTCTAACCCCTCACCGCGCTGGGATCCTCCGCGGCCTCGCCCCTCGCCACGCTGGGGTCCCCCGCGGTCTGCCAGGTAGTACCCTCTGCTGTGCTGTACATCTGGGTTCTGCTGGTGGTTGTCATCGCTGTCCTGCTTGTCTACGGGCTGCTGGAGGCAATCCTCACTGCTCTCCCCATTCATGGAAGTGGTCGAGGGCTGCCATGTCCCTGAAGCTCCGTCCTGCTGGTGGGGGACTGGCACCCCTCTGCATCCCGTCTGGCGCGGGGCTGTGGCCTAACCCCTCGCCACGCTGGGGTCCTCTGCGGCCTACCCCCTCGCCGCGCAGGGGTTCGTGGTGGCCTGTCCCTACTCCACCCTGGGGCCTGCTGACGGGTTTCCGCTGCTCCTCAGCCCTTCCCGCCTCCAGGGACCGCTCTGGCTGCAGTACCCTGGGCCCCTTGGGCCTCTCGGTCTCGGGCGCTGGCGTTGCCGTGCGCAGCTCGGCGGGGCTGCTGGTGGCCCTGGCCTCTGTGTGCCTTCTCGGCTGTCTGGCTGGGGCCCTGCTTGGCTCTCGCACTGCTGCTTGGGGTCGCGGGCTGCGGCTCCTCATCGCTGGCCCAGTCACACCTAGGAACTGCTCAGCAATTGCTTTGCGCCGCTCTGCCTCCTTCGGGTCCAGCTGCTGGCTCTGCCTGCGCGCCTCTCCACTGTTGAGCCATGCCATACGGCAGATCTCCTCCGCCGCTTGGCGCTGGCTGCGCTGGCGGCTCAGCCCCGACTCGTGGCTGAACAGCCACTGGTAGACGCCAGTCTGCAACTCCCTCAGCACATGAGGCACGCACGCAGCCTGCCACGATGGCCAGCCCTGTTTGCCCTCTTTCTGGATCCAGCAGCCTGCCAGCGACTGCATGTGCTGTTCGAGCCTGTTCCTCTCGAGCCACGCCACCTCCTGCTCGGGGCCCTGGTCGGCTTCTCTTTTGTGTCGAAGCATTGGGTGGAGCAGGCCAGCTTCTCCGGCTTCGCCCGCGAACTTCATCAGGTCGGGCCCCACTGGCTTGGTCGGCTTTACTGCGACCTGCACGACCGACTGCATCAGGCTGTTGGTGTCGCTCCTCTGATCAGGCCCTGCCATGGTCTCCATCTCCTGGTCTCTCGGCTCGCCCTCCTGCTCTGGGGCTTCACTGTCTGGTGTCGAGTCATCATCGTCCAGGTTTTCTGGTGACCACTCTCTGCTGGCCTCCGCTGTACTCGGCAGCGGCCTGCGCTCGCTGCTGGGGATGCTGTGCGCTAGGATGTTGTTCCTTCTATTCTGGAGCGCGTCCATGTGCACTCTTGCTACCTGCTGCCTAGTTCCGTACGGGAGGGTGAGCATCCTGGTCATGAGCCTCCGTCGCTTGCGGTGCGTGTTGCGCCAGACTTCTTCGCAGCAGTCCTTGATTTGCTGAAGCTCCTGCACGGTGACAGCCCTGGTCTGCTCTTGCGAGTCCATTCTGCCGCCCACGTTGGTGATGGCCAGGAGGTACGGTACGCAATGCTCCATCCAGTCGCCCATGTCATCCCAGACCTCCTGGTCGACCATGTTCATCCACAGCTCCGCGTAGCCCTCCATGTGGTCCACGAGCCTCCAGCTGGCTTGGACGACAGAGTGCGGGTGGCTGGGCGGCTGCTGTGGGGCTGGCTGCGGGCCCCCTGCCTCCGAACTGTCTCCGTCCAGGTCGATCACCTCGTGGTTGCTCATGCCCAGCTTGAAGTCACCAGGCATGGTGATCTCGTTGAAACCCTCCTCCCCTGGGTCTGCTGCTGGCTTAGCTCCTCTTGGCAGCTTGCCCCTCTGCATGTCCGCCAGGACCCGCCTCCCTGCTGCTGTTGGGGGCTGACATGGCCTGGCTAGCTCCCTTGCCACTCCTGCCACGATCCTGCTCTTGTGGTCCCCAAGGTAGCTGGTGCCACCACATTTCTCGCACCAGGGCCAGCCATGTGTGAACTGCGTCTTGTGGGAGACGTCCACCACCTGCGTGCCGATCTGCACCGCCTTGAAATCGAGCCTGACGTTGCCGTGCTGGTCCTGGTGGCCACCGTACTCCCCGAGGCATTCTCCAGTCTCTACCAGCCAGTCTTTGATGATTTGTCCTTTGGCTGGGCCACTGACCGCCATGTTGATGGCCAGCAGCCGACTCTGCACCGCCCTGATGATCTGGTCCCTGGTCTGCTGCTGCGCGATGATGGCTGGATCCAGGGCTCCATGCTCCGCTCCCCAGCCTGCGTACTTGTCTGCCATCTCGTTTCCGATGACCCACCAGGTGGGACCGTTCCACCTCTCCAGCTCGGCTGGGTGCTCTATCAGGTGGCTTGGGATATGGTGGCCCATGATGGTGTCCGTGCTGTTCTGCAGCTGCTGCTTCGTCTGGAGCCAGAGGTCGTAGTTTGTGCTCCTGTAGTCCAGGTCCTCAGGATCCCGGATCTGCTTGAGTGCGTCCAGGGCGTACTTGCAGTCGCTGACTATGTTGAGCCCCCTGGCCGTCGCCGCCGTGGTGTACCCGATGGCTTTGCTCGTGGCGGTGAGCTCTGCCCGTGGCACCGTGTGTGGTGCCCTGATCGTGCCGTACCAGGCGGCCACTTCCTGCGGACGTCCTTGCTCGTCGAACCTGAAGGCCACCACTGCCCAGCCGCAGCGTCTGAGGCGGGGGTCCTTGGCCGTCTCCCCTGCACCCCCAGAGCCGTCTGTGAAGACGTAGTCTGCTCGAACCTTGTACCCTGCCTGGGCTGCCGCCTGCGCCTCCTCGCTGGTGCAGAAGATATGCGCCGCCTTCGCCGCGTCCTCGTCTGGGTCGACCTTGGCTGCCCAGGCCGCTGGCGGGATGCCGCGGAGCCAGAAGTGCAGGTCTTGCCGCTGGTCCAGCGCGACTTTCGCCTTCTTCGCCAGGTCGGTCTCACTGCTGTGCCCTATCTCTGCGTTGGCTGGGCATGCGTAGTAGCGGTGTTCCTCTGTCTCTATCGCCTCGCCGCATCTCGCGCAGGTGTCGCCGCCTTGTATGTTGAGGTTGGCCGCCCTGCGACGCTCCCTGGTCCAGATCCCCGCCACCGCTATTGTCTCCAGCATGGCCGCCTCTGCATGCTGCCCTTTGCGCCTCCTCCTCCTCAGGTGGCGCTGCAGCTGGAAGAGGTCGCCTCCAGCCTGAAGTCCTTCTCCACTGCGGTGGCCTGATGCCTGCTGCCAGATCTGCTGCTGCGCACTCTGCTGGACCTCACGCAGGAGCGCGCCGAAGTGTGGAATGTCATCCGGCTTGTAGGCCCACTCTTCACCTGCTGGGCTGATCCAGCTGTCCAGGCGCCGCGGTGTCCAGCCCAGCCCAAGCAGCTGCGCGATGACCCCTGCCATAGGCCCCTTGACCTGCTGCCACCTGCGGTTGGGTTCCAGGGCGTTCAGCTTGGCGTAAAGCAGGAGCCAGCCTCTCTGGTACCTCTTGAGATCCGTCGGGTGGTCGACTATGGTGAGCCAGAACTGCTTGATCTGGTCGCCGATGGCTCGTGTTACTGCCTCTTGCATTCCCCTCTGAATCAGGAGGATGGTGGACGTGCAGCGCCCTGCCTTGTGTCCGCCTGTGAGGCGCGCTGCCTCCGTGGCCCTGACCGCCCTCGCCTCCGTGGGCGTGATGCCGTGCGCTGGCAAGTCCCAGGCCTGCTGGCAATAGGCCCCTGCTGAGTAGACCTTTGCCGCACCTCTGGCGCCCGTCTTCGCTAGGTCCTTGAGCTTGGCCACCCTCTGCTTGGCCTTGGCCTGGCGCGCTGCATGGGTGGGTCGCCGTAGCTGCTTGCCTAGGCTGGTGTCCACGCCGAGGTCGCGCACTACCCCTGGTTGCTTGTTGGGGGTGCCCAGGCTGTCCAGGATGCTGGCAACTTCTGCCTGGAGGTCCTTATCCGAGGCCACCACTGCCGTCTTGACTGAGATGGGTATGGAGAGCTGCTTGAAACCATCGTGCACCAGCGCTGCCACGTACTTGATCTGGTCTATGACCTGCCTCCGCGCACCCTCTACCTGCAGGGCCAAGTCGTCCAGGTACTGCTGCATGACGACGAAGATGTGGTGCCTGTGCGCTGCGTCCAGGATGCCATGCAAGAGCGGTCTGGTGAGGTCGACCGCTTGGCCACAGCCAGCAACCATGCTGTTGGCAGGCTCGAAGATGTCCGAGAAGAGGCTGTGGGCCATGATGGCCCTGGGCGCAAGGTACATCTGCACGGCCATTGCCAGCGGCAGCAACGGGCACTGGAGGTCGCTGGCTTTCTCAATCAACTGGTCGAGGCCTATGTTGTCGTAGAAGTTTGCCGCGTCGTAGAAGACTCCCGCTGCATGAAAGCCCATCTCCGTGGCGGCTTCTGCCCTCGTCAGTCTGTGCATTGCCACTCGTAGCGCTGAGGATCCTGCTACTGCCGTATCCCAGAAGCCCGCCGCTGCCTTGCTCCAGGTGGCTACTATGGGCCTCCTGGCTGCGCTCCAGATGCGGTACGGCATGGGCATGAGGCCGATGGGGCGCTCACCGCCGATCCCTGGCTTCTTGCCCAACAACAGCTCCAGCACCAAGTAGAATTGCCACGGCCACGCTGCCCGTTGCTCACAGCTGGTCAGGCACTGCACGAAGTCTTCAAGCCCCTGGGCGCCCATGGCCTTGAGCTCTGGAGCCCTCCACCAGTCCGCCCCTTGGCCAGCATTGCGCTTCAGGTGCTGGATGATGGGGCCGATGATGTCCTTGCTGATGGGCTCGAGGGCATTCTCTTGGGCCAGGGCCGCCTGCCTCAGCTTGGCCAGCGCCTCTTGGATCCTCTCAGCCTTCTGCGCATCTCGTGTCCACCTGCGTTGCCATGCCTCTTTGCGCAAGTCCACCAGCTGCTGCGGGTGGTTGATGACCTGGCCCTCATGCTCTAGGATGTCCTCCAGGTGGCTGCGCTCCGCTGCCTTGGTGTAGGCGTGGGCCGTCTTAGCACTACTGCCTGCTGCGGCGTCGTGCACCCAGTGGATGTACGCCTTCTTCACCGCCTTTGTGAGCTGCTTGGCCATGCTCTTTACCTCCTCTGCTACCCTGCTGATCGTCCCTGGGTCCACGAGGGCGCCCTCTGCTATCGCGCGCAGGTCTGTGAGGAGGGCCTGCTGCTGGTCCTTGGCTGCACCTTCTTCGTTCAGCCTGCCTGGGTCAGGCTGGTTGAGCTGCTGCGCTAGTTGCCTTCTGGTGTTAATATGCTGCTGCGTCTGGTTGCCGCTGTGGGTGCGAGCCTGCAGCTCTCGGCGGCTTCTCGGGCCACTGCCTGCTCCTGGAGCATCATGTAGTTGTCTTCGAGCTGCTCCTTCTGGTGCTCGTTCGCCTATGACTTCTCGCATAAACCTCCGCAGGTTTGCAAGCTCCCTCCAATGCATCATCTCCAATTCGTGCCTACTCGTCGGCTCCTCTCGCGTGAGACCTTGCAGAAAGCCTCGGCGTCGTGGTCCTGCTTGTCTCCATGCTCGCTCGCAGAGGTCCCTGACGATGTGGTTGAGGCCTGCCTGCTGGCACCTGCGCCTGAGCAATCTTACCATTCCATCGTTGCCACCGCCACCCAAGATGGTCTCCAGGAACGGCACGCAGACCTGCATCCAGTTGCTGTTGTCCGCGGGGGGCTGCACCAAGTTATCCATCCAGATGGCCGCCCAGTACTCTAAATCGTCTCTCATAGCCACGTAGTCTTCCCACTCCCGCTGGTGCGGGCCTTCATTCCAGCGGTCTGGTGGGGGCAGGCCCATGTCGCGTGACTCCTCTGCCTCTGGGCCTGGCAGCTCTTGGTTCTGACTCCCCAGGTGATCGGTACCCTCTGCCTCCAGAGTGCCAGCTGGCTGAGGAGGTGAGCAGTGCGTGTCCCCTGGGGCAGTATAAACTGATCCAACTGGGTGCCGACGAGCGGACTGGCCGTAGTCGATGCTGTCCTGCTGCCCCTCAATTCGCTGGAGGTGCCCGTCGCGGTCCTCCTGATCTTCGGTCTCCTGGCGATACTGCGTGCAGTCCCTCTCTTCCTCGGAGGGGCCGCTGTCTTGGACGTCCATGGTGTTGCGTCTTGCTGGTGGGGGAGTGGCAGATCCTTCTGCTCGTCGGCGATCGGTCTGGCCGAACTCGCGGCTGTCCCGCTGCCCCTCGGTGTGCTGGTTGTTCCCATCGCTGTACTCCTGGTCTGCGATCTCCTGGCGGTGCTCCAAGTAGTCCTCCTCGTCCTCGAAGGGGTCGTGATCTTGGATGTCCATGGTGTTGCGTCCTGCTGGTGGGGGAAGGGCACCCCTCTGCATCCCTTCTGTGCTGCTGTCTGCTCTGCTGTGGGTTGGTCCCACGTCGAGGTCTGGGACGCATCCCGTGGCGTTGTACTTGGGGCACGAGAACCCCTGACCCATCTCTGAGCAGGGACCAGCTGCCTTCCCTTGTTCCGCTGCACCCGCCTCGGCCTGAGGTGGGGGGACCTCCTCCGGTGCTGGCTGATTCGCGATGTCCTTGGGGCCGCTGCCGCCGCCTCCTGCTGCGCCCCCACTGCCAGCGCGCCGCTGCTGCAGCTCGGGGGGGCCCTCACCCCGCTCAGTGGGACCGCGATCCTCCGAGCTTCCTCCCGATATCTTTGATGGCCTCATGGCTGGTGCGGGGGCCCCGTCCCCGTGGCCTTCCTGGCTGCCTGCCATGACGGGGCCAGGCTCAGGCGCCGACGGGCCCTGTTCACCTCCTGAGTACTCGTCGGGAATTGCCAGGGTCTTGCCCAGTCGGCTTGCTGCTGCCTCCTGCGCTCGGGCATCATGGTTCGAGAGCTGCCGCGCTAGGTTGGAGATCTCCGCCCACCACGCATGGATCTTCCTTTCGACCCCTGCCCATGGCGTAGAGGTGACGGTGTCCTTGATGCTCACGCTCTTGTAGCTCGGGGGCCTGCTGCGCCCGAGATGTCGTCCTCGCTCTTCCTCTGGGATGCCGATGCTCTCGCACAGGCTGAGCTCAAGGATGCTTGCGAAGCGGTCATACTGTTGTCCAAGGTCCAGCATGTCCCGCTCCATCATCTTGCCGACGACTGTGTGCTGCAAATGCTGGGGCAACTCGTCGTTGGCGCGCACGCTGACTCGCTCGGAGGTGGCCTGCCACAGCTCGTCAGAGATGACGTGCTGGACCTCCTTGTCGAAGTACAGCTGCGGCGCTGGCTCCATGTCGTTCTCGTTCAGGTCGCATCCTGCCTCTGCCAACGCTTGCTGTCGTCGGCGCATGGCCTCCTGGCCCCCTCGCGCCGCTCGTCTGCAGGCGGCTCTGGACTTCGGCATTTTCTCGACTGTGACTGGCGGCTTAATGGCTGCTGGCCTGCGAAGTACCCCGCCCTTGAGCATGAGGGGCCGCCCCTTCAGCTTCAGGCGGATGCCAATGTGCGGCTTCCACGGCGCGGCCCTGAGCAGCTCCAGCTGGTCGAAGTACGGCGCCAGGCCCTGCGAGATCAGCGCAAAGTCGATGCACCTGGCCTCACCTGCTGCTGGGAAACATGTGGGGGCGCCATCCTCCGCCGCAGCTACCTGAACATTCAGCACCCTGGGCCAGATACTGTTGTTGAGCTCCGACGGCGCCATGTTGAAGTCCCCAAGCGCTGCCCAGGGCCCTCCCCAGACGGCCATCTTCCCCCGCAGGTCACAGAGGATGTCGACATTCCTCTCTCCAAAGCAAATCCCACACTCAAGGTGGGCGAAAGCCACTGCGAAACGGACCATGTGCAGGTTGGAGGTCACCACCGTGACGTCGCTGCCGTCCTCGTGCAGGTAGAGCTCGTCGAATCCCGCAATCCTGTCCTGGATGTCCAAAGATCCTCGCGCGATGGCACACGTGCCTCCTCGAGTGCCTTCTCCTTCTCCTGGCCGTGCCTTGGTCCAGTAGCTGTGCATGCCATTCCTCCTGAGCGCTGCTCTTGCCTTGCTTCTCTGTGCAGGCTGGCGGAGGTGGTGCTCCGCAATGCCAATGATATCGCTGTCCTTGGTGTCGTTGATCTTCATGAGGTAGCCCTGTGCCTGGGGGCCCCAGGTCTTGACGTTGAAGAAGTCAATGCGGCACGGGCGGCGAGCCTTCTTCACGCTCGCCTTGGAGCGGCTACCCCGCTGAGTGGTCGCCCTGCCCTTCTGCGTCGACGACTGTCTCGGCGCGCCTTGCCTGCGAGACCTTCTCTCGCGCCTCCTGGATGTGGGCCTCCACTCTTGCTCGGCGTTCTTCTGCTTTGTCATGTTCTGCTGCGCCTGCTCCAGGTTGGGCAGCTGCTGCGGCGCCGGTGGGCGCAGCCGCTCCAGCTGTCCCTGCTGCCTCAGTGCATGCGGTGGCACCTCGCTGAGGGGCTGGGATGGCGGCGCAGACTCGCTTGCCTGGTGGGGCGTCTGCTGCTGCTGGGTCTTGCTCTTCGCTCTTTGACAGGCGCTTGGTGCGGGCCTGCTCGAGCTGGCGCAGCTGCTCCCGGTGCCTGGCCGTCTCCTCCTCCAGCAGTCGCAGGTGCTTCGCCGTCTCCTCCTCGTGCTCCTTGACCGTCTGGGCCATCCGCTCGCCCTTGGCCTTCGCTGCCCGCCAGACCTCCTTGTCTGGCTCGGACCACTTGTGGAAGTCGTCGGGCTCGTGCTCGAAATGCTCCAGGAGGGCTGCCAGGGTTGGCTTCTCGGCTGCAGGCTCAGCTGGTGCCTCTTGCTTGCCGACTGTGGCCTTGAGCTTGTCGAACTCATCTTCGGCTGCAATGGAGGCCTCCATGGCTTCACGAAGCTTGCGTTCACTCTCGGCCAAGTACTGCTGGGCACTCTCAACTTGCTCTCCTGCCGATCGCACTTTCTTCTGGAGTTTGTCCAAGCGTCGAGCAGCTGCCTCCACTGCCTTGAATCCAGCAACTGGTTGGTCTGCTGGTGGCTTGGCTGCGGCGAGCTCTGGCCAGAGGGCCTCGTAGTGCTGCCTGAGCGGGTCGTCCTTGTTGAGCTTGCTGTATGCTGCTGCGGCGGCAGCCTTGAGGTCGGCTGTCTTGTCATGAGGTGGTGGCTGGCGTTGGCCTCCTTGTCCTTTCCCGCCTGCACCACCACCTGGCTGCCAACCATCTGCCCAGCTGATCCTGGGCGAGGTTCCTCCTTGGGGCTGTGCTGCCAGCCACCCGCCATCGTCTTCACGGAAGACATGACCGTGGGGAACGAGGCTGGCGATGTTCTTGCCGCAGATGCAGAGGTCGCCCCTGCTGGTGATATTCTTGCAGTAGCGCCATCTGCTGCACCCGTCGCACACCACGTAGCTGCTGCGAGGAGGGCGACTGCCACTGCTGCTCCTCTTCCACGGGGGTACCCTCTGGCGATTCGGGGTCCCCGACCAAGCGCTGCCCGCCCCGCGTCCGCTGCCGCCACTCCCCATGGCTGCTGCGATGCCGCGCGCGCGCCCGACGCCCGTCTGGGAACTGTCCTCGGTCCAGAGGTCTCCCTTCGGCCTGGAGGCTGGACAGCCCCCCAGGTCGTCATCTTGAGGAGAACGGACGGGAGGAGGAGGCGGAGGAGGAGGCGGAGGAGGAGGAGCTCCAAGTAAGGGTCATCGGCGCGGGCCTGGTGCATCGCACTGCCCTCAACCCAATCTTCCTTTTTGCCTCGGGTCCTGCACTGCGGGATCCGTGTTGTTGGTGAAACTGGTGAAACAAGAGGAGCCCGCGACCAGATGCCCAAACCACTCTCAGCAGCGCTCCTTTCCGTGCTCGCAGTGAGAACAACTACCTCCGAAGAGAGCGCCCGTCTCTGGGGCTCTACTTGGGCCCTCGCGGGGCCTTCTTTGGGCTCCGCGGGAATTCCCAGCGTATTTGGGACCTCCTGGGGCCATCTCCTGCGCTCTCACTTGGAAGATTTTCGAGAGCCTCCAAATCGCTTCCGGTGAGCCTCACAGGTGCAGTGGGCCTGTTCGCTTCGACGGGCGCTGGTAACGAACCCTCCCAGGAGCCAATTTGGTCTCTCTTGGGGCCGCTCGGGGCGCTCTTGGGACTTTGGGACTTACTCCAGATTTCGTAATAAAGGGAGGGGGGTCTCATTTCGGGGGGGGGTCTCTTCCAGGCTGTCTTGCAGGGCCTGGGGGGGTCTGGGGACGACGTTTTGGGGGGTTCTCCCACGGGGGGGGGTCTGAAATGGCTTGTCTTGGAGGGTCCAGACCCCCTCCCTTTTATTACGAACTCTGGAGTAATTGGAGCTTCTCGGGGCCCTCGCAGGCATGTTTCGGGGGCCTTGAAGAAGCCTCCAACACGCCTCACCTCTCGGGGCTTTCTCTCGAGCTTCTTCGGAACCTCTCGGGGCCCTCGCAGGCCCTCGTTTGGGGCCTGCAGAGAGTCCCCACATCGCTTCGGGAGAGCCTCAGGGGAGCTGTCGGAGTGCTCGTTTTGGCACCCGCTCAGAAGGCCCACTCCCAGTGTCCCAGAGCTCAACGGGGTCTCTCTTGGGGCCCTGTCGGGACGGCCCTCTGGGCCGTCGTGGGCCTCTTGCTAGTCGTGGCTTCGGGCTTCGACGGCCTAACTTGGTTGGGAAATTATTCCATTGAACGGTGAGCTCTATGTATCAAGCGACCGCTCTTCCCCCACGCGAGCTTCACACGACAGCTAGGGAGAACTACCACCACCCAACAACTTGCCAGAGCCCACGAAAACACCAGCTAATGGCACGGGGATATACAAGATTGAGCCGCGGAATGCGCGAAGCAATTGAATGGAACGCAGTAAAGTACCTGTACGTCCAGTGGGCATTATCGTAGTTATGAACTTTGATCCATGTGTTCTCAACCGACTGATTGATGGACACCGTGTACCACATGCAGCAAATCAAATGATTGACCACCAACAACATCAATATCATCTTCACGAGGTTTGCAACGACACTAACGTACTCAGAATCTATCATGTCATTGATGGTGTCGAATATTTTCCGGAGCTTGAGCAACCTTAGCAACCGCACCATCCGAATGAGGCGCAACACTCTCAGCAATCGGAAGATCTCACCATCGTCACCATCACTACTACCAGCGGCCGCTATATCCACTATCTTGAATGTCCAGTCGGGCACCAGAACCACCAAATCGACTGCGAACCAAGTCCTCAAGTACCTCAACAAGATCTTGCGCATTGACAGTACGACCACGCCGTGCTCAACGTAGCCGACCGTTAGCGACGCGAGGACGTTCAGGGTCCAAAAACACAGGATGAACCAGTCCATACCCTCGCTGAAAGCATTGTCGGGTGGACTGAAGGTCTCCATCGGGAGTTTGAAAAGGTCGTAGAATATCAGTGCGGCTCCGAAGAAATCCCAGAGCAGCCTCGCTGGGCGCCCTGGGGAGGCCAGAACAACGGACTCCCACGCGCACCGCTTCTTGCGGTCGCTGGTTGGCGTCTCCTCCCAGAACGAGCTGACCTCGGTGTCCGAGTCTGCGAGGCTGCCAAACCTGCGCAGACGTGAGGCAAGGTCCATGCTGCTTGCCCGGCCGCTCAGTCTTGCCTCCTCCTCCTCGTCCTCGCTCCTTTCCTTCCAGGCGCCCTTCATCTCGAACCTGAACCTCCCGCTGGCCGTCCGAACGGAGGAGGGCGCCTCCCCAAGCTGCGCGTACTCCTCTAGAGGCCTCCCAAATGGGGCCCGAGTATATGGGGCCAGAGGATCGCGCCACATTGACGATACATCGGAGATGCATCGGCGATGATGCCTCGGCGATGCCTCGGCGACGTCGGCGATGCATCGGCGCTGTCGACGTGAAGCAGAGTGGGCCCCACATCGAGCCGCATCGCCGATGCATCGGCCATGCGGCGCGATCCTTCGACCCCGTCTATCCCGACCCCATCTGGGAGGCCCAGATCCTCGCAGGTGGGCAAGGCTTGGGGACAGGCGTCATGCAGCCTCGGCGATGCCGACGAGGACCCGTCGCCAGCAGCGGCGCAGGCCTCCAACGGACCTGGCGCGGCCTCCCGGCAGAGCAGCCGGGGGCCGCTGGCGGTGCCCTCCGGGCCGCCCGCGGGGAGCACCGCCTTGACCGGGCCAGCCTCCCAGGAGACGCAGCTCGGCAGCGGCGTGGGCCCATCCTAGGAGGAAAACCGGCATAAACATAAACTTGTAGCGCTCCGCGCAGATGTCTTGGATCTGCGTTGGAGTCCCCTCCCTGGCGCACGGAGCGCGCCAGGGGCGGCGCCGGAGGCGCCGCCAGAGGGTCAAGAAATCCGCGCGGAGCGCCAAAAGCGTATGTTCATGGCGTTTTTCTTCTTCGAGGCCAGCCTCCGAGTGGACGCAGCTCGGCAGCGGCGCGGGCCCATCCTCTGCGCGGAGGGGCCGCAGCTGCTGGACCAGCGCGGCGCTCTCCTGGAACTGTGCCTGCACGGCCTGCAGCTCCCGCCGGTGCAGCGCGGCCAGCTGCCCGAGCAGGATGTCGAAGGCGCTGCCACCGCGCTCTGCCGGCGGCGTCTGCGCAGCAGCAGGCGGCGGCCGCGCCGGGGGGCTCCCTGGGGGCGACTCGCAGCGGTTCGCGGCCAGCAGCAGCTCCGCTACTGGGCTCTCGTCAGAGAGCGGCGATGCTGGGGCGTGCTGCATGGGGAGGAGTCAGGGCGACTGGTGCCGACAGCAGCTTGGGCGAGAGTGGCCGGAAGCTGCATTGAGCTAACGTGGCAATGACGCGCGTCGGCCTTTTCTACTCCGTGGGGAGTTGCACGACTTTGGTACAGTGAACCCGTATCATGAGGACGTACGATACGGATGCAAGGGCCTTGGGAAGCTATGCCGACACTCTGCGGGCGGAGCGCGCGGCCAACGAAACCGGCCAAGGATGGACCATGGAGGCAAGGATGCAAGGGTACCCTTGGGAAGGTTGCCCATCCATGTAATGCGGGTTGACTGTAGGATGATGTTCTCGTCCCGCGCGGTGTCCCCCCGTGAGCTTGTGTTGCAATCTTCGTGGCATTGCATACCACTTCTGCGAGTGTGCTGTCTTGCGCGTGATGTTGCGCGCGTCTTGTTTCGCTCACCACCAACTTGTTGTTGGCGCATCCTCACGGCCAGTGTGTGCCTACTGTAGCTGTGCTTTGACGGCTCACCCCAACAAGCAACTTGTTGTTCGGAACGGGTCTTAGTGGAGAAGCCAAAAGGTACCGATACCGCTACTCCCTGGACCTCCCCCGGGGTGCGTTCTGACGAAAAATTTCGAGGCGAATCCAGCGGTGGCGACGAGGGCCTCCGAGGAGGCCCCCAAAAGAGGAAAACGAGAAAAGGGTAGGGGTATGGTTACCTTTTCCTCCTCTGAGCAACTGGCCAGCGACGGGGAACCGCCATCCCACAGATTCAGAGGCAGCCTGACAATCTCAAGCATGGCAAAGACTGCTCCCCCTGGCCAGATGAGGCCACGCACAAGCCCGGCTGCATGTGTCTCCACGACGAGTGACTCTCCGCAGGCCACGTGTCAGCCTGCGGTCCGCCGCGTCAAGTTACCTGGCTTGAAAACATACTGGAAGGTCTACTTGGATCGCCGCGGTGGTTGCTAAGGGGATGGGGGGGTTCGAAGTGGATGCTAAAGAAGGTTTTATCTGGCCTGGCCCAACTTATACGTGGATTAGAAGAGGCCGATTTGACTTGGGATGATGAGGTAACTCCGCTACCTGATCTCCGCCCGCTTAGCCCAGATCTGTGCGCCGTTCGGCCACTCAGGGCACGTGCAACCCACTTCTAAGCTGGGCTGGGCTGGATAGAACCCACCTCAACATCCACTCGTACCTCCCTGTCCTCTTAGCAACCCCCGCGGCGATCCGAGCAAGACCGCTTCTCCTGAGGAACTGCGCCCGTGCGCCGGTCCGGCTGGCTCCTGGTGACCCGTCGGAGCCCGCCCCCGCCGCCCTCGGGGATTTTCTGACCCGGGTCAATCCAGACCCGGGTCAGCAGGAAACCAAAAACTGCATTGCAAGAACAACAAAAACTGCAACGCAGGGCTTCGTAAACCCGGGTCAGCCAATACGCGCGGCCGCCTCGCGGCCACGAGCGGCTCGCTGACCCGGGTCAGCCAGAGGGGGTCTTCGCAGGATCCTGCAGGATCTGGCGCTCCGGCTGACCCCCGTTTGCATGGACCCCCGTCTCGAGGCCCCCGCCGCCCGCCTGGGCCCGTGCGCGCCAGACTCTGGCCCGCTCGGGGTGGCCCGTCGCGGCCCGTCGCCGCCGCCCAGGCGGGCCTGTGCGCGCCAGCCCGGGTCGGCTCGTGATGGCCCGTCGCCGCCCGTGTGTCGCCGCCGCAGGTTGGTCGAGTGTTTGATCGTGCGTTGGTAGACCTCCCTTTCGAATGGAAAACACATCCCCTCCAGGATGATCGACTCCATGCAGATTACTCCAGATTTCGTAATAAAAGGTAGGGGGTCTGGACCCTCCAAGACAAGCCATTTCAGACCTCCCCCGTGGGAGAACCCTCCAAAACATCGTCCCCCCAGGCCCTCCAAGATAGCCTGGAAGAGACCCCCCCCGAAATGAGACCCCCCTCCCTTTATTACGAAATCTGGAGTACGTATGGGTCTGACTCATCGTCCATCTTGCATACGGATTCATACCATCCCAGGCAGTCCCGCTTATGCCCCCCCCGTCCCCCCCTCCCACGCCCCGTCAAATCATACGATGCTCGCATGCTCGTGTATCGGCGAAATCCCACCAGCCCTTTAGGCGTAGGTGGTCTCTTTCGTTCTCTTCCTCAATCCCTCTTCCTTTAGGGAGGGGTACACTCTCCCTGTCCTCCCTGAGGTTTTTTGCCAAAGCGCCCCAAGAGGCAATTTTGATGAACCAGGGGGGAGACAAATCGAGAACCCCCCCTCCTTTGATCGATAGCGCCCAAAATTGCCTCACCAGCCCCTCCACCCCTCCAGGGCTCCCGAGGGGGCCCCAAGAGGGCCCCCAGAGGCCACAAGACGGCTCCAAGAGCGCCCAAGAGCGCCCCAAGAGCGCCCCAAGAGCGCCCAAAGAGCGCCCAAAGAGCGTCCCACAAGAGCCCGAAGAGACGGTGTTCCTCCTCCTCCTCGTCCTCCTCCTCCTCCTCTTCCTCCTCCTCCTCTTCCCCGTGGGCCCCACGGATGGCCTGAAGAGGCCCTCCAAGGTGACCCCCTTGCTCTCGGAGATCTCTCTGTTCACCCTGGTCGCCCGCCTTGTATTACTATATGTGTCTGTTCGTCCCCTTTCCCCGTCATCCCTCATGGGCAGGGCTTCTGGAAAAAATAGTTGGGATACGCGAAGCGTGAATAATCATGTGCGAATCGTCCCTCGCCAAACACACATGACAAAATCCACATGCACGCTTCGTCGCGCACGCATCTCGGAATCTCTCCAAATGTTTCACTCTGTAAGAGCTTCAATGCCTAAGTTCCCGAAAAACGATGGAACACAACATGTTGTGATTCTTCAAAACAAATCGGCTCGCGCGCGCTCTTGCGAAACCTCAAGCGAATCGTACGTTGCTCAACATGCCTCTCAAAACCGACCACTCGGGCCTCTCGCGACATCGCGCGCGCGCGTGTCGAAATCATTCGGGCGCCCTTGCACGTTTGCTGGGAGAGGCGCGTGGTCCCTGTCAAATGATGCAATGCGGGCCGGGCGCGCGCGGTGGCCGCGCGCGCATGTCGAATTCCTTCCGGAACCTTCATCAATCACGCATGGACTTCATCATCACCGTCACCCGCGTTATCAGCATCGGCGACGACAGCGGCCTTGCCGCAGTAATCGTCATTATCGCCACCGGCATCGCTACTATCATAATCGTTGCAAGCGATGTCGACGTCATCATGATACCGCGCCCGCTCGAACCACCGACCCGCATTCGAGTAACCGCGCGCCCGAGCGGCTTTTGACACGCGATTTGGCGTTGCTATCGACAATCGCCATCGCGGTCGCATCGGTTGTGCCAAACGAGCTTGCCGCTCTGCGCGCGAGCTTGCTCGCGCCAGCGCGGCCGCAGAGGTACGCCACTCATGGCCACGCAGTCATCGCAATCGTCGCCGCATGGGGTCAGGTGGGATGATTGCACGAACAACGGAGCAAACAATTCAGTAACTGGGAAAACTGTGTTGCGCCACGTAGATTTAGATAACACCACATATAAGTTCTTTTCTGAGGCACAACCCCATCCCCATCCCCCCCCACCCCCTGGGACAGTGCCAAGTACGTATGAGTTTGCGGCATCGTTCATGTTGCATATGAACGCGTACTATCCCAGGCAAGCACGAGATTCCCCTACGCCATCCCTGTCAAATCAGACCATGCACCCGCACTCGTTCATCGCAAAACATCCGTGTTCAAGAGCCCCTTGAACCAAAAAATATGGCACGTGCGCGCACATGTCAGCATCAAAACGAACATTGGAGTACTGCAAGGTTTTCAACATACAAGTCTTGTTGCTAGAAGAGTGTTTGGTTCTTTCTGACTAGTGCAATTTTTTCCCGCACGCACATGCTGAAATCAAGTGAGACCAAAATGGTTTTATCAAATTCGGCTAGCTGTCGCCTTGATCCAGGATGCGCGCAGTGCACGAACCCCTTCCACAAGATAATAGGCTGGCCACTGGCTCGCGCCCGCCGCGCCCGCATGTCGAAATTATTTCAACACCTTGTTTCTCGCGGTGGCTTCCAAGTAGAGCTCTTCAGTTCAGGACGCGTGAGAAACCAATAACCATTCGACAAAAATCCACAGGATGTATGGATCCCCATGCCCCGCACGTCCGCACCGCTCACCCCCCATCAACGCCGCCGCATCACGTCATCGCCGTCCGCAATCGCCACCGTTTCCGCCATCGTCACTCACGCACACGCATTATCGACACATGGGCATCATCATCGCCGTCGGCGTTGCCAACATCGGCGCCGTCAGTGGCCTAGTCGTCGCCATCGTCATCATCGACACCACCATCGCTACGATCATCATCATCATCATCATCATCATCATCATCATCATCATCATCATCATCAACAACAACATCTTCATCATCATCATCATTACTATCAGCATCATCATCATCATCATCATCATCATCATCATCACCATTGCCGCGTTTGCCGACGCCACCACGATGCCGCGCCCGCCAGAATCACTGACCTGCATTGAATCAACCGCGCGCCAGCGCGGCTTTTGACGCTCGCTGGGGCGTTGTTATCGGCAAGCGCCATCACGGCTGCATCGGCTGTGCCAAACCAACTGGCCGCTCTGCGCGAGGGGCTTGCGGGCGCCAGCGCGGCCGCAGAGATGCTCCAGCCATGGCCGATCAGTCATGGCAGTAGTCGCCGCATGGGGTTTGCAAAGCAAGTTGCGGTTGGGAGAGTGGGACGATTGCGCGAGCAGTGGAGTTGATGTCTGCAAGTTCTGCAAGGTGGATTGCACCATATAACTTGCACAACTTGCACACAATATATGGTATTTAACTAGATGCTCGATTAAGCTCTGCCCCTACCCCGGATTATCGCACCCTCCCCCCCCTGGGACACAGCAAATTACACATGCTACTGCCTCATCGCTCATTTTGCAAATGAAGTCACACCATCCCAGGCGGTCCCCCCACCGCCCCCCTCTCATCCTTGTCAGGTCATACAAAGTGCGCAATCATTTAACGCCGGAAATCAGCTTCCAACAATCCCA